GGCCGCGCTCGCGGTCCGCGGCGGGGGGCCCGCGGCCGCGGCGCCGCCGCCGCTGCGCCCGGGCAGCGACTCGGATGTGGCGTCGCTTCTGGCGCGGCTGGGCCTGGCGGGCGGCAGGAAACGCGGCCAGCTGGCCGCCGGCGAGACGGGGGTGCTGGCGGCGCTGCGGCGCGCGCTGCAGGGCGGGGACCGCGGCGCCGGCGCGGACGGGGGCGGGGACGCGGCGGGGCGGGCGCCCGGGGAGCCTGTGGTCGCGCTGCTGTATGCACTGCTTACAGAGGCGCGCCTGCGATCCCTTGAGGGCGTGCTGGCGGATTTGTCAGCCCTGTGCGGGCCCAGCCGGCCGGCCGCCGCTGAAGAGGCGGCCCGCGCGGCAGCTGCGACGGCTGCAGGCGGTGGCGGCGGCGGCAGCCAGGGGGACAGTGACGTGGTGTCAGTGCATTGGGAGCTGCAGACAGCGCCCGTGGTCGGCGCGCCGGCGAGCGGCGTGCCAGAGGATTGGCAGCGATTCCTGTGCGGTGAGCCGCTGCCGCTGCCGGCGCTGCCCACCCTCGTGCGCCCGTGGAGCGCCGCGGCCGGCGCGGGCGGGCGGCCGCTGCTCCCGCTGGCGGCGCCGCTGCAGGTGTTATTGCAGGAGGCGCCGGCGCCGCCCTACCATCATCACCAGCAGCAGAAGCAGCAGCAGCGTGGGCCAGTTGACGGCCCGGGCGCAGCTGCCCTCGCGCCATTCCCTGGGGCGCCCAGCCCAGGCCCCTGCATCGCGTGGCTCATCGATGCCTGGCGCCCACAATTTGCGCTGCTGCCTGGCGCCGCCGCCGAGCCCAGCGGCTGGGGTTACGAGGCCCTGGCGCAGGCGGCCGCGCCGGAGGGGTGCGTGCGGGGCTGGTCTGGGGGCGCGGGAGGGGCGCAGGAGGAGGAGTGGGTGGGCAGCATGGCGCATACCAGAGAGACTATCCCTTTGGCCATTGCATTTGGTGGCCAGGACGGAGTCCGGGGCGGCGGCGCGGACGGCGGGGCCGACGCAGTGGCGGACGGCGCGTCGCTCCTGCTGGCGCGCGGCGCCGCGAGCGTCAGGCGCTGCGTCGCGCCGGCCGCGGCCGGCGCGGTGTTTGTTGGCGTGCGCTTCGTCGACCTGGCCGTCGCGCTGCTGGCCGCCGTCAGCGGGGAGCCTTTGCTGGTGGCGGCCTGCCGGCAGGGGCAGCGGCAGTGGCAGGGGCGACAGCAGCATCCTTTGGCCCAGCACCGCGGCCAACGACCGCTGCACGCCGCCGCGACCGCTTGGATGGCGTCCGTCGCGGCCAAGAGCAGCGGCGCGCAGGTTGATGGGCTGCTGCGCGCCGCGGCCGCGGGCTGCGGCGGTGCGGGCGGCGCACCGCTGCCCGCGCGGCTCGCGGCGCCGGCCGTGCTCGCGGAGCTTCTGCGGGCGGTGGAGCTGGGGCAGCGGCCGGGGATTCTGGCAGAGGCGCTAGGGACGGACGCTCTCGGCGCGGCAGGCGCGCTGGGCACGCTATGGGAGGCGTTCCCGCGGCTGGCTGCCCTCAGGGCGCACGTGATCGAGGGCTGCGCCAAAACAGGGTGAGCGTGCCTGGGGTGCGGAAGGGGCTTCTTGGGATGCAGGATGAGGGTTGGCCGAGGGTGTACTTTGCTCGAGGTGGGGCCGCGCAGCGCAGATGCACATTACTTATCAGGGTTGTTCAGGAATGCGGTCCCTGGCGCTCCTTAGGGTGCGTGGGTGTGCCTCCTGCTGCTGCTGTGGCATGCCGCCATTGTATGTTGTGGTGCCGCCATTGTATGTTGTGGTGCCTGCCCGCCCCTACTGATCTGGAGCACGCTTCACTTGGGACTGGTTATGCCCCCTCCTCCGTGCCCGTCCCTGAAACCCACCGCACGCGGCTCGCCTCCCAACCCCCCAGGTTTGTTCACTCGCTCCTCGGCCGCCCCCTCCGCGTCCGCCTGCCACCCGCGCCCGACTCAGCCGCCGCCCGTGTGGCAGTCAAGGCGCGCGCCAGCGCAGAGAGGGCCGCGTTTGGTGCCTGCCTCTCCGCCTGCCTGGGCGACTTCATGCAGGCCGCTCTCTCCATCCTGCAGCGCGTGGCAGAGGCGGCTAACGCAGAGGAGCAGCAGCTGCTGCAGCAGCAGCTGTTGCAGCAACGGCCGGAGCGGCCGCAGGTCGGCGGCGCTGGGGCAGGGGGCGGCTCGGAGGCCGCGGGGGCCGTCGGAGTGGCGCCGTTTGCGGTCGTGTTTTGCAGTGGGCACGAGGTGGTGATGCAGTGCCCTCCGGCGCTGGCGCTGCAGCTGGTGGAGATTTCGTCGCGGCAGCTCGAGCACTGGCTGCCGAGGCTGCTGGGCCTGGCACGGCAGCAGCAGCAGGAGCAGGCGCAGCAGCAGCAGCAGCAGCAGCAGCAGCAGCAGCAGCAGCAGCAGCAGCAGAGAGTTGTCGACGGTGCTGCGGGTGAGGCCGTGTTCCCTGCGCGGTGGTGGTGGGGCAGTACCCTTGACGACACCACCGCTACTTGGCAAAGGGTTTGAGGCTTTGCGCGGGAACGGCGCCGGGGCTCCTTGTACAAATGCCATTTCCTTGCGTACAAAATTTAGGGATCTGCAGGAGTGATGTTTTCTGAATAGCGCAGTTCACCGAATATGTTTTTTGGCAGGCATCCAACCTTGCGGCGTGCGCCGGGGCAACACCTGCGTGATGCCCGCGCCCCTTTGTCTTCCACGGCATGCCCGCCGACCTCCGCATGACACTGACCACTCGCGTAATACACCAAGCTGGCGTGCGACCACCACGCATGGGCATGTCACCACCATGGGCGGGTGACCACCATCGGCGTGCGATCACCAGAGGCATGTAATCGCCATCGACATGTAACCACCACAGGCGTGTGCCCGCCTTGGGCGGCGAACCGTACTTATGCCACGTTCGGGTGTTGCCCTCCATTGCGCACAGCACATGCAAAAGCAGTACTTGACATGTCGAGTCAACGTGTCGTGTCAGGCATCTGCTTGATGCTGCCGCCACGGACGCTCGGCCTGGGATACACCTCGCCGTACAAGGCAGCCAAGTACAACTGCGATACTGCTTCGTGCCACGAAGCAGTATTGTCCGCCCTGTCTCAGTGAAACGGGGCGTGCTGCAGCCGGTATTGGGGCCAGTGGCACAGCTCAGCAGGTGACCAACAGCACCAGCTCGACCAGTTGTTATGGCAGTGCCTATTGCCCTTATATTAAAGGTTGCCTCACAAGGCTGGACCGGCATGCCTGGACACTGCAATTGTGGTTTTACATGACAACCTTGCCTGTAGATCAATGGGCAGGCGAGCATTGCCCAATGCAGCTGGGCCATTGCCCAACAGGCCGCGTCACGTCCTTCCTGACTCATCGCATTGCATCAGATCAAATCGGATCGCACGGCAGCTTCTCGTCGAGGGCCAAACAGTCAGCAACAGTGAAGTTCGCGCAACAACCGCGCAGCACACGCGTTCGTGGATGTGTGCATCCGTGTACTTGCAAACCCCTTTGCCCCCCCTTGGCTCCGCCACTCCCAAAGAGAGCCCAGAATCCCTTTTGACTTGCCTTTGACTCCGTGATCAGCCGAGCGTATCAAGGCTGTCGGCCCATCAAACCCCAAACAACTTGGTCGGCGCGGGCAAGGCAAGCTGCGGGTGAGCCTGACTCGCGACGCGACGCCTGTAAACTCGCGCCGCCAGCGGCCCCCGGATCATCCAAAGTGATCATAATGCGATGGGTTGCACGCAGAAATAAGCGCAACCCCTTGATGCAGCATGCAAGGGCCCCGGGACGCGCCAGTCGAGGCTATCACCGGCCGGGCCGCTCTTGCAGTTTCTGCTAGTTTGACCGCCAATTGATTTCGCCGGCCCACCCACCCGCCCTCCCCAGCTCCACCCTGGGTTGACGCCTCCCTTGCGCCGGTGCCATTGCTCCTCACTCCTGTTGGGGCGGCCAGCAAAGGAGTGCGATGCATCTTGGGCAAGCCCGATCCTGCTGCGGCGCAAGAATGCCTGGAATACCCTCTGCTGCTGAGGCAATTTGAAGCTCAACCACTTCAATTGATCGCAACCAATGGCATACCCTGCAAGTCATCGCCACCCCGTCGCAGCCCCCAAACCTTGGCGTTTCCTGCCGCCGCGTCCCACTACCCCCGCTCACCCGCCCCAGCCGCGCCCGCGCCGCCTCCTGCATCGCCACCAGCCGCCGCGTCTCCTCCCGTACCCTCGCCGCCCGCGCCTCTACCGCCTTCCGGCGCGCCTCGGCCTCGCGCCGCGCCTTCTGCTCCGCCGCGGCCCACGCGGCGGCCTCCCTCTCAGCCCTGAGGCGCGCCAGGATGCGCTGCTCCTCTGACAATCCATCCGCCTCGTCGGCGTCATCGCCGCCACCGATGACGCCACCCTCTGAATCATCCGCGTCCTTCGTATTGAAGCCACCAACCGCCTTTGGCCCGCCGTTGGTGGCCAACGACCCGGCCCGCGTGGCCGCAGCGGCGGCTGAGTCCTTTGACCCGTTGCCTGGGGCACCGACGAGGCCGCCGCTGCTCTTCTTTGGGGCGACCTCCTCTGTCTGGCGCGCCGCGGCCGGCGCCGGGGGCTCGGCGGCCGGTGCGGAGGACTCAGCGGGCGGCGCGGACCGGCGCTCGTCGGCGCCGGCGAGCGCGGTGGTGGCGGCGGCGCGGATGGCGTCGGCGGACGCGGAGGCGGCCGCGGCGGCCGTCTTTTGGGCGGCGTTGGCGGCCTTGCCGCCTGCATCCACGGCCGCGGCCTGTCGGTGAGAAGGGGGCGGCCAGCCACAGCGTGTATGCCATCTGTCTGACGCGCGCACGGATCGCAGGCCTTCAACACTGCTCACCCTCTAGTATCAGGGTGGCGACGCTTGGTGCCTTGATTCTTTTCAGTGCTGGATTTCAAACCTGGGCACACCCCTCTGTTTGAAACCCTATAAAAGGCAGCCGCAAGCCTGCAAGCAGTATCAGCACACTTCTTAGCGCCCAATTCCCCCAGGCCCTGATGAATTGACCCCACCTTGAGTGTATCTGCCGCAGCCAGGGCCGTCTCCGCCGCCTCTGCCAGCGGCGCCGTGTCACCCGCGGCGGCCGGCCCCGCCGCGTCCCGCAGCGCGCCCGCGGCCTCCGCCGCCGCGAGCGCCGCCCTCCTGACCACCGCACTCGCAGTGCCGCCCTTCTCCGCTGCCACGACCGCTCCCTGCGCGGCGTCCGCCGCGGCCGCCGCCTCCGCGGCGACCGTCTGCGTTGGCTCCCCTTCGGCCCGGACTGCGCTCTCCTCCGCCACGCCTCGCGCGGCGCCTGACCCTTCGACTGCCGCGCGCCGCGCCTCGTCGGCGACCGCGGCGGCCGCCTTGACGGCCCCCTGGGCGCCCGCGGCGGCCGCCTTCGCCTTGTCCGCGGCCGCCGCGCCCGCCTCCGCCAGGGCTTGCGCCTCGCCGGCGGCCACGGACTTTACGGACTGCAGTCCGGACTTTGCGGCCTCCAGGGCGGGCGCCACTGATGCCGGCGTCTCGGCAGCGGGTGCCTGCGCGTTTCGAGGACAACAAGGGTTGACGTGTGAGGGTCATTGCAATATCAGCGAGCGGGAGGGAATCGCAGGATGTTTGAGTCGACAGACGGCAGATCAGATTATGAGCCTGTGATCTGTCGGTTGCCGGTGGCACCAAATTGGCACTGGCGCATTGTGGGGCGCCAGCAGGGTGCCCTGGCGTGAAACGAAGCAGGCCCATTGTGCAAACGCCGATCCTGAGCATTTCTCATAGAGAGGATTTGAACACGCACGCTCACATGCAGGTTCACGCAAACACACACACCCACCCACCCATCCGCCCACCGACCCACACAAACATACTCACACTCACACTCACAAACACAAACACACTTACACAGAAGCACACCTTGGTACTACCCTCTGACTGCCCCCCCAGGGCGTCCCTCGCCGCGTCACGCAGCGTCTCTGCCGCCGCCACCGCCCCGTCAATGAGCGCGCGCCGCGCCGCGCCGCCGTTGCCGCTCAATCTCGCCGCCGCCGCCGCCGCGCCCAGCTCGTCCGCAGCGGAGAGCGCCGCGGACGCGGCGTTCTTTAAGGGGGCGAGCTCTCCGCCGTCTGCCGCCGCCTGGATGGCGGCAAAAAGCGTCTCCGCCGCCGCGGCCGCCTTGTCGGCCGCCGCCTGAAGAGCGCCGCCCACGCGGCTGGCGCCGCCAGTGACGCCAGTGGCGCGCTTGGGCCCCTCCTCGACGTTGCTGCTTGTGGCGGCGGCGGAGCCAGGCGCTGGCGCACCAGCGCCGGCGTCTAGGCCGTTGGCAGCCCCCTTCGCCGGCGGGGCGGCCTCGGCTGCCTGCGGGGGAGGCGGAAAGGGGCGTCTCTGATGAGCCTCGTGGCACAGGTTTGGTGTAGTTTGGGTTGAACTTATCGGATTCGATGGTCATAAGAGGGGTTCAGAAATGAAGGAAACCTTGCTTATAAAAAAAACGATTCAAGGAGACCGTCTCAGGAATCTGTCCCTCAAGGAGGATGGTCACTGGGTTGTTTGCACATACAAGGGTGCAGGTATACCGATGCAACAGAGTTGTTTGCCCGGCAACAAGAGCATTGCCCAACAACTGCAGGAGAAGGTGACCAAGCAGCCAGAACGCACTGCGTTGCTGGAAGCCAACCCACCTCCGCGCCGGAGCCCTTTGCGGCGTCGTCCAAGGCGGCAGCGGCCGCCTGGGCGGCGGCCGCAGCCTCCTTTTGGAAGAGGCTCGCATTCCATGCGCCGCCGGCTTCGTCGGCCGCCGCCTGTGAGGGTGTCGTTCGTGCCAAGCGCCGTCACGCAGGTCCCATCAGCACCTTAAACTCAGTCGACATGCTGCAGAATCACAAGTGAATGCGTCTGTCACGCACTCACAGGCCCTCGTCCCCCTCGCACTCACCCTCAGCGTTTCGGCCGCCTTGGCCGCCGTGCCCTGCGCCTCGCCCAGCGCCCCCGGCTTGCCGTCTGTGGCTGCCTTGACCGCATCTTCCAGTGCCCCCTGAGCCTTTGCTGCCTCCTCGACCGCCCTCTGCACCGCGGAGCTGCCGCTCTGCTCCGCCGCCTTGGCCGCGCCGGCCACCTTTTCCCTGGCCGCCTCCACGCCCTCCTTGGCAGCACCCGCTGCCTGCTTCAGCGCAGCAGCGGCCTCGTCAACCTGGGTTGAGGGGAGCAGGGCGGCAGCAGTAGGCGTGAACACAACCGTGCTGGATGGCAAGCGCCCATGGCACAATGGCGGGCAGTACCGTACGGCTGCCATGATGCCATGCAGCTCCATGGGCCGCTTTTGCATGCATCATGATGCTGTACCACGCGGCCCCATGCGACCCCATGCGACCCCATGCTGGCCTCATTCTGCCTAACGCAACCTCATGCTGGCCCCATGCGGCGCAACGCTGACCCATGCAGCCTCATGCTGCCCTGCGGAACCACAGCCCAACAGCTGCTCAGCCACCGGCGCTCCTTGCAGGCATGCAGCCAGGGCCCGCCGGCGCGCTCCATGCATAATCCCGAGCAACCCTGCATGCGGCCAACAATGCGGGCGGCGCACCTCAGCCTGTGCGCCCCTGGCAGCGCTCTCCAGCGCGGAAGCTGCGGCCTTGGCCGCCGCGGCAGCCTCCTTCTGGGCTGGGCTGGCGTTCCAAGCGCCGCTCGCCTTGTCGGCCGTGGCCTGCGCAACAAGGGGCCAAGGTGCGAACAGGTCGCAGCTCTCAGTGCTCTCTTGGCAGGACTCACGCCTGCGCCAAGGACGCATGCCTCAGGAAGCCAACGAGCTTGCAAGGCCACAGCGATGCCTGCAGGGCAAGTCCACCCCTCCGTCGCACCCGCAGCGTCTCTGCCGCCTTGGTCGCGGAGTCCTGCGCCTGCTTAAGCGCCTCTGGTTTGCCCTCCGCAGCCGCCTTGACCGCGTCTTTGAGCGCCCCCTCGGCCCTGGCGGCCTCCTCGGCCGCCCTCTGCACAGCCGCGCTGCCGCTCTGCTGCGCCGCCTTGGCGGCGCCGGCCAGCGTGCCCTGCGCCACGCCCGGTCCTGTGGCGGCGCCGGCGCCCCGCGATGGCACATCAACTGCCTTGCCGTCCTGGCGCAGCATTGACAGGCAAGACGAGGCGGGGTTTGGGGGGCGTTGAGTCAGGAAACGATGAACCATTCCATTTGAATGCTAGTCGCAGGCTATGACAAGTTCACGGCCTCAACGCAAAGCGCATGGGCGCACTGCGGCTGAGGCGCACGCTCCCGGCCAGCCAGCCAGCCAGCAGAGTCCATGCATGGGAAGTTCCGTGCAGCAAGGCGTCAAAAGCAGCCAGGCATCCACTCTAGCACACGCCCCATTGCAGGCGCCGAGACTACTCGAGCCAATAGCGCCCTGGCCTCCGACAAGTCCCCGATCGCCCACACACCGTGGCATTGGCGTCCTTGGCGGCGTTGCCCGGCGCCGCGGCGGCGGGCCTGGCCGCCTCCGCTGGCGCCTGCGCTGCCACGCCGGAGCTCCCCTTGCTGATCGGATTCTTGGGTGCATCGACCGCCTTGGATGCCGCGGCTGGGGCCTGCCTTGGGACCTCGGGCCTGGCCTGCGCGGCCGCCCCGACGGCGGCCTTAGGCGGCCCCTGCGCCTTGGCAGCCGCCGCGGCCGGCCGCGGAGGCGCCGCGGCGCCGGTGCCCTGAGGCGCCGGCGGCGGCTTGGGGGTGTCGTTGGGTGCGGGCGCAAGCTTCACTGGGGGCCCCGTCACCGCCTTCTTCACGGTCTCAACGCTCCTCTGAACAGCGTCTGCCACCTTGGCCGCGGCCTAGTATTAGGAATTGCACGCGCGCCGGAGAAGAGCAGTGGACGTTGAGCTGTTGGGTATGCCACACGGCAGCTGGGGGTGGTTGGGCTGAACACAGGCGTGCGTACGCACGCGGCTGCTGAGCCCATCAGTGCTGTGCGCATCAGGGGAAGCCGGCCGGACAATTCAGTCAAGAAGGCATTCGTTAAACGACTGCCGAAGGCAGCAGGGGTTTAGAACTTCTATCTTAGCGATGGGGTTTTTGAACACCCACCTGCCGCGTGCCGCCCCCGCTGATCGCGCGCTGGGCTGCGTCCCGCAGCGCCCCAGCCGCCTGCTCCGCGCCCGCCGCCGCAGCCCGCTGCGCCTCCGTCGATCCGGGCCCGAACGCGCGCCCCGCCGCGGCGGCCAGAGCGTCCGCCGCCGCCAGGGCGCCCTCCGCCGCCCCTTTGATGTTTCCGAGGTCGCCGTCTGCGGCCGCCTTGACCGCGGCGCGCAGCGCGTCCGCGGCCGCGGTCGCTTTCGAGGCTGCGTCCTGCATGCTCAGAGTGACGACGGCCCCCTTGGGCGCGACGCCGGCAGGAGAGGCGGCCCTGCTTCTGGGGGTTGGCTCGCCGCTTGCCACCTCTGACAGCCAGCCGAGCCGCCCGGGCAGCTTTTCCGCGCCGCCGCCGCCGGCCGGCGCCGCGCCGCCGGCCGC